AAAGCGACATCACTTTCTAAACGACCTAATATATAACAAATCCCTGCTCCACGTTTTCGTTCGGCATGCCTACGTACGTCTTATACCATCCTCAGCCCCGTAGGACAAAGGTGGCAAAAATCGGCGAAGTCGACGAAAATAACGACAATTTTGTTGAAAATTATTTTGTTTGTAATCAGCATGCTCACCTATCTCTATGCCCACTCCCCCTCCCCTCTTCCGGCGCCTTAGTCGAATCTAACAAAAAAAGCAACAGGCTTTAGAAAATACATGATATCTCCATTCAAAATTTTTTATCTCAGGCAAATCCAGGCAGATCCAGGAGAGTTACGGTTTTTTGAAAGATGTTGCGAACGATTTTTTAAACCCAGCTAATATAATATATAGCGAAGGCTTTGGGCTTGTTCGTTTGGGCGTACGTTAGCTTCCATGTAAAAAAACATTATGCAAGTCATGGTTTTCTGGTAGAGAAATAACGCTTTTCGTCGCAAAGGGCTTTATCCAGGGTCAAACAAGGGGTGTGGCACATGATCGCTGGCTACGACTCCCCCCCCCCCCCCTGATTGCTGTCTTAATAAGAACCCCCCTGAATTATATACCTAAGATAGCATTACTTGAAGGCCCTGTCAAACATAATGGGCAACATATCCATAATGAGCATGTCAAATAACCCCTGTAGACAAAGTTTGAGCGAATTCTGAAAATTCAAGATACTAGGCTACCTAAGTGAAATGGTCATTTTCCAGCATGATTAACTTTGTTTCAAAAGTGAAGTAGCTAGCTGTTTTGGCACTCAAGACAAAGCACTACTCCTTCTTTGTCCATTTCAGGAATCCCGCTTCAAAAGACCTCCAAACTATGGAAATAGAAGCCAACCAAAATCTCATTTTTCCATTTTCTGCTTTTGATGGCTGTGCTTTCACCAACTATTACTCAGAGCAAAGAGAACGAATCAGGCTCAAATCGCTTCTGCGACAACTAGGAGATCTAGGCTATCGATCCATATAAATAGTGTTCGCTAAAAATGTTTTTTTTATATAGTTAGTGGGGTGTGACACCACCCTCTTAAAAGCTGTGGCCGCCGCAGCATTTAAGGGGTGTGCCGCACCCCATTAACTATATCAAGAAAACATTTTTAGCGGACAATATTTATATGAATCGATAGCCTAAACCTTGTAGATTCCATAGGACTGTTTGGAGCCTGATTTGTCTTCTCAGCTCTAAGTAATTATTTGGTGAAAGCACAGCGATCAAAAGCGAAAAATGGGAAAAACGAGATTTTGGTTGGCTTCTAATTCCACAGTTTGGAGGTCTTTTGAAGCGGGATTCCTGAAATGGACAAAGAAGGAGTAGTGCTTTATCTTGAGTGCCAAAACAGCTAGCTACTTCACTTTTGAAACAAAGTTAATCATGGATTGTTCGACTCTCTATGAACCTCGACATGGCGTAGATATTGTAGTTGTTTATGTAAGCCGCACTCGAGAAAGTTAATCATGCTGGAGAATGACTATTTCACTTAGGTAGCCTAGTATCTTGAATTTTCAGAATTCGCTCAAACTTTGTCTACAGGGGTTATTTGACATGCTCATTATGGATATGATACGAATCATGTTATCACTATTATCAGATTACCCAACTACGACCCCCTCCCCTGTTGACTCCTCAATACGACCCCTCAGGTGTGGCGTGCCACACCCCACGCTTGACCCTGGCTCTATCCCTGAACCAGCCTATTTTGTCCCAAGCCAGTTCTGCTACACCGAAAATATTGATTTGTAGGAGAAATCAAAAAATTCTTAGGAATGTCGTAGCTTGTGTCATGCCAACATCTCAATATTAGGTAATTCTAGAAGTTGGTAATCAGTTTGGGCAGATGGCTTTACGTACGCAATCGATGTAGTTAGATATAGTCAAAACAAAGGGTTATGATTCACTACCTCATCTCTTAATGAATCACATTGGAAATATGACATTTCAAAAGAGGAAAGCTTGCATCACATATTTTCGAGGTTTTTGTTTATCTCCTAACGTATTCGCTGGTGGATTCAAGACTTATCAAACTTTTGCATTGACCTACTGTAAGCGAAGTCGACCCTGTGGGCATTTTTCAGTATACTTTTTACTTCTTCAACTTAGCGAGTTTTATCCCCTCCCCTTACCTCTCTCACAAGGTACGACTGCGCTCTGTTTGCGTTTCTTTCTTCTCAGCATTGCACATATTGTAACTTAAGGCGTGATGATAGTTTTATGAGAAACCGAAACGTCACCAATAAAGATACAAAGAGCTTTTCATCAGCAATTCACTATCTTGTAGGCATTTTTTAACTTCTAGTCAACAAGTAGCATCTTACGAATAGCTTTAGAGTAATGGCTAAGTCCCGCCTGAGCAGTAGTCAACAGTACCTCAGTTTATTAATAGAAGCCAATCCATAAAATGACTCTGTTTCGTCGGGTGTTTGATGAAGAACTTTCAGTTTTGTTACTTTAGCATAAATAACATCTGTAAATTCTTGTTTGCAGAAGGTTTTCAAATAGGGATACAATAGCTTTGTTGGACTTTTATTAGGTTGCTACATTAGTCTTGTTACACTATGGTATCGTATGGCGATAAGTCACTCCTCATTTACAATCAGGGTGCAGGGTATCGTTCGATAGAGGAAAGCAATCTCTAAAAGAAGATATTTCAACAAAAAGACTGCTCGAAAATCGAGAAAAAACCATGGTTTGAAGCGCAGCGTCTAAAAAGAAAATGTCAAAAAATCAGTTATTGTCTTCCTATTGAACTTCTGTTCTTCTAAAGTCAAATTGCACGTCAAAAAAAACCCAATTTTCCTAGTGCTTTTATATCACCCCGCCCTTTTGTTTTTGTTTTTGGCGACGTTGTCTGCGTAGCTTTGTTCACGTAAGATTCAAGAGTATGATTTCCCCAAGCGAGGAAACACTGTTCATTAAAAAGGGTTTCTTCACCCAAATTCAACAGTTTTAAATGAGGGAAAAAACGGGCGGAACTTTTAAAACAGCTCAATACATTGTCGACATCTGCTAGGACTGAGTCTTCTTATCGTCTCATTTTCACAAGTTAACAAACTTTGAAGAATCTGCTTATTAGTACTGACATGTTTTGAATTAAACGTTTCACTGTCGGCTTTTGCCTAGAAAGCTGATGCGCCACTAACAAACATTCACTTATCAGTATCAAAAAAGACCTGATAAAGTGGCAATAGTGGATGCATTAATAATTCACAGTAGCATAATGCGTCGAAGCTCAGAATTTACTCTAATTTCACGCGTATAAGGCCCACTTTCTCGAATTTTCAAGGGAGCCGCTCAGCCGCACTGTATTCCGGAAAGAATTTCTTACATCGCACGATTCTCTCAAGCAATATACAGCACGTTATAGGGTCCTTTGGCTGTAAAGTCCTTTGGCTTGTCTGGACTGGTCGATTTTGGAAAAAAATCCCTCGCGCCTTGTGCGCGTGAAATTGGGGTAGTAAAGACAGCCACACTTCTGAATTGCTCTTCATCAATGCTGAAGGTTCAGCAAGATAGATTTTGCGCCTGTTTTAGTTGATATAGCCATCGAGAACCGTGAATATCTTTCCTCCCACGAAAACATTATATGTCGAGTTTGCTTGGTTACGTAGATAATATCCGCGGACCTGTAATCTACTTTGCAAAAATTAAGCCGTCAGAGATTTTTCTCAATAGGCTTAATTACGTTTTCCCAATAGGCTTGATTAGTCTCCAGTCTCAATATATTAGGTTGGCTAGTAAATAATTTCGTCTGGCATGCAACTACAAAAGCTCTTCAAATTTCGAATAATTGTTGTTGCCACGATTTGTTCAAATCCTGGCAACAACAGTTAGTAATTACGCAACTCTAATTCACATTTTAATGTTCAGTATTTCAATAATAAAGAACAATTGTTTAGGCCTTTCGAAAACGCACTTCCTTTACTTTTCAGGTTTCGGTTCCAGTGTGAGTGTACATGTGAGTAATTTGGCGACCGGATATATACAAGTTCTGGTTTGCAGATTCTTTGCAAATAAGATCTGAAATATCCCTCCATTTGCGCATAAAAGTCAAAATTTGTGCAGCAAAGATCGCGTGTTTCATCTATAGCGTTGCAATTTGTTAAAAACATGAATTCTAAAGTGTGGATGCCAAATGCACAATTTGTACCCAGTTTAGTTTAATTTGAACCATGATTTTTTGAAAACTTGTTGGAAAAACTTAACTATTCTACTATCCTCATCCAGTTCACCGTCAAAAAAGTTTTTTTTCTCAGAATACCTCCTTTCCGATCTTCCTAACTTACTTGAGCGGCATCATAAACTCATGCTTATATTGGCCTGGAATGCTTCTAATTGACTTTTACTCTAGCCAACTTAGTCTTACCATACCAACTCAATAATGTGACTATTGAGTCTGATGCTTGTAGATTCTGCTGTAAGGTAGGGTTAGCGTGTTCGAAGCACACTTTATGCTAAATTTCGCTTCGAAATGTAGTCCGTAGTCGTAGACTGGATTTCGATTCAGGGTGGCCCAGAATAATGTGCATATTGTCTGACCTTAATACTGGCTTGCTTTGATATGTTACATCAAATTTTAGGTACCAATCTGTAAAGCTGCTTCAACTTAGATTTGCAGTATGCAACGGATGGCCGATTTCTTTCATTACTGTAAAATTACGTTAAGAACTTCGACGAGGTTTTTAGCATCGAGGTTCATATTTTGCGGCAGAAAGCACCAAAGAAGCCATAACTCTTTAGGCCAATTCTGAATATAGAGTTTCCATTTTACTGTGATTTTCCTTTTCCATGTTACACCCAGGTAAACCGCACGTAATCGCTCCAAAACCGTGAATCTAAATTGAAGCTAATACTACAAAGGTACCAAGATTGGCGAAGGATATCAAAGGAGGAAATTATTCACGATCAAACAGTGCGCACATCAATTTCGGACACTCTGTATGTAGAACACACAGTCATTTAACAGCATGATTGAAGCTGGTAGAAATGCCGGGCGAATTAGCAGGGTTGACTTCAGCACCACTTTGAAAGTAAGATCTACGATGACATGATGAGCGAATGGCGACAGTATGCTGAACTACTCAGACAATCACAAATGACTTCCGGGGAAAAAACTGAAGTTCTGAAACTTCCGGGAAACACTCCTATTGAAGCTGTCAAGTAGGGCGCGGCCAGATAGGGCGGAGCCCACCCAAGTGCAATAGGAACGTCCGCCCCAAAGTTTTAAAAGTTCAGATTTATCCGGAAGTCTTTTGCAATTGTGCGAGAAAAAAACTGCTTACTAAGAAACAGATCTGGAGCACACAGCTTTTATATGGTACACTTTTGACAGATACTCTGTCAGACTCACGATCTGAACATAACAGGCTAATCTATAAAGAGGTATGAATACCGCAGTCACTTCCTCCTTTTTTAGAGCATGATGTGACGCTCACATAATGCAATTTACTGTCATTGCAATAATAATATCAATCACAATAATCAATAATAAGATCAATCATCATAATACATGGAGATGTCATTTCAGATGAAGAACGTCAGCTTGTGTTTGATATTCAGGCAGTTTATAATAGATCCCATATACCTTGGTTTTTACACGTCGCTTGCTATCAGTTCATGCCTCTCTGTGATCTTCGCTGTTCTGTTAGGAATTCGTTTTTCACGAAGCACAACTTTTCATCGAAACATAAAGGTAGGTTTTATAACATCGAATAAGACAGTCACAAACTCAAAGGCTTTCGCCTTACACCTCCAAAATCAAAGTAGTTGTGGTTTCGATTCAGATCCTCACTTATCTTCTCTTCGCATATGGCATCATATTCAACCTGATGACTGACATCACCTACGTTAGTGTTAGAATACAGCTATTAGGGTGAACGGCAAAAAACGGGACAGCTTGATTTTTACTACATTTTGAGATTTCTTGCTTCGATCGACAAAAAGCAGGCTGAAGCTTAAACTTCGCTTACATGAGCGACCTTCGTCTATCATTCTGGTGACGCGTTAACGCTCCTTTCCCACAACTTATGCGTGGCGTCATGGAGATCTCGAACATGGTTTTTTGTACATCTCTCAATCTTGTGCTGCTATACCATAAACTCAAAAAGCAAATGACATAGCATTCGAAAGAGCTCTTCATGCTCTTTCAATTGGTATATTAGATATGTGAGATTCCTTTTTATTTCTAGATAAAAAGCAAAAAACTTGAAAAATTGCGTTTTCTGGCACAATAAAAACCAAAAAACCAATCTTCAATCTATCTCAATCAGTCTATCTATCAAAAATCTGCTTCATCTGTCTTTCCAAAGATAGATGAAAATTGGGGTAAATTCTATATGGTTGGGTAGAGCGGTAAGGATGGTAGCCAAAAAACATGCGTTCACTTGCAAGGCAGTAAACAACATAGGCCCGTAGTAAAGCTCGCTCAGTTCAGGTGAACTGAACTTAACCCATCAGTTGAGCTCACGTCAGATGAACTGATGACCGCCCACCTTCCCATGCTATAAGCATGGCGAGTGAACTGATAGTTGACCATCTGTCCACCTGCTGCAGTCAACTCTTGCACATCAGTTCACGTTCAGTTGACCTGAAGAGTGCAAACAGTGTGTAAAAGAGGAGACGCCGACAAGACTCCCGTAAGTTGCTCCTAAGTAACTTACGATACACATCAGCTAGGCTAAAAATGCAGACAAAATCGGTGCAAAACTGCACAACTGCGCCCGAAAAGAGAGGATATGAACACCTGATTTTGGCGAGGAAAACAAAAAACAAATTCTTCCCTTTTTTGTGAACCTTACTGGTTTTTTTTCACTAGCTGTCCAAAACGAGAACTCATTCACGCTGCAACCGTTTTTTTTCACCTTCCCACCGTTTTTTCACCTCCCATTCACCTCCCATTTCGTTTTTTCATAAAGTTTTCGTCACGAATTGTGTTTTTGTTTTATCCGTGCATTTGCTAGGCGAAATCCTTGATGCGGTCATCGATTGCGTAGTGGCCGCTATCAAAGATTGCGCGGCGATGCAACAACAGGTGTGTCGCTAGTCGAACCACGGCCGCGCGCGTGTAATTGCAGTCGCTTACCCGTTTGATCAAACCAGCTCAAATGGTTCTTTTTTCAAGAACACACTTGACTGTAATGCCTCGGAAGCGATCCGCATCCAGATCAATGGCTCGCCGGATGCTAAATTGAGGCGTGATGAGATCAACTCCGGTCCGCGTCGAGAGAGATGCTTTATGGGAGGTTTACTACGGGCCATAGACTACTGCATGACGAAGGCGCAGAACCTTCGGGCGCAAACGCGGCTTTATTGGCCGCGGAGCGCATAAGACGCAGAGTTTACCACGGTGAAGTTACGCACGCCCCGCGTTCGCGCTTGCTCAACTAGTAATGCTTCTGCGCCTTCGTCATGCAGTAACCTTTACATATCCGTTCTCGAAATTGCTAATAACCATATCTCCTGACTTTGAGCATTGAGGACAGCAAGCCATCATCGGTTTGGTTGCTGTACCTTCACCCGTTACAGCAGTGGTACTTTGGATCATCTCACATGTTTCACTGCGCAGATGCTGCTCAAAGTTTGTAATTTGTCTAGGTGATTCACTTTGCTCAGCAAGTATAATAATTATTGTTCATGTGAATGACCTTATATAGATATTGTCTGAAAAAGAATTATATATTCTAATATCTATCAAAAATAAAAAGTCCAATGTAAAAGTCTTTCTTGAGAAATTTATTATTCTCTAGGTGTCCCATTCACCGTTCACCCGAATATTTTAGTTAATTCGCCCACGAAGAAAATAGCAACTTTTATTTTTAAGATTTTTCACGTTTATCACATTATCAATGAAAACTCACCCTGCTCACTGATATTTTACACGACAGAGTGCTCTTGGTCACTAATCCCTTTGACTACATGTATTATCGGCTTTATTTGGATACAGGTTTCTATAAATAGTTTTTCTTTTCTCACTTAGCCTGAAGTCGAGTTCTAGGCTGCTCTAACCATTGAGCGAGTAATTGCGACATATCGTCTGGGACATTACGAACGTGAAGGAAAGTATGTAGGGCCCACCTTAGCTATCATGGTGGTGAGCACACAAATGGAATCGCTTGGTATTCGTGACTTTCTTTTATTGCAGTTGCTGCTATCCATACTTTGCATGAGATGGGGTCTCGCAGCCACAGATGATGCAGAAGTGCTGGCACAATGTGCATCCATTCCGAGTTCCGCTACACCCCGAATGAATGTGGTATACTTTATTATGCTTATAGTTGACTTGATATCTATGTTGGTCTTCGCATATTGTCTTTATCACAACAAAAGAAAGCTTAACAGCGGGTAAGTTGATTAAGTACAGACTAAAAGCACCTTTTATAATACATGCATAATTTTACAAACACATGTGCTAAACCCATGCTAGCTCACAGTTTACATTTGAAGTAAATTCAGAAAGTACTCTCTTGATTTACGCTATGAAATACAAGAGAACGTAAAAGTGTTGCGCATACTCTTTCCTATTGTTATATCACACCTATTTGTATTCGGCTTGTTCATAATAGGCAGGTCACATTAATCAATCAAGAAAGATTTCAAAACGGTTATCTCAGGAAACATCGTGATACGTAATTTTCGTGAAAAACTTCACATAATAACATTTGCGATATTATTGATAGCCGTGTACGTGAGTAGTATCTCTATAAAACTCATACACAGTATAGGCAGTTTCTTATAGGTTCCTCCATATTACTTCTTAATTGTGTCGAATTGGATATATATAGTGTTAAAATGTGAGTCGCGAGCTTTGAAGGATTTCCAAAACGCTATCGCACAACGTCCCGAACCAAAAATGGAAAGTGATGCTTATTTCAACTCATTGCGGAACCAATGGTTTTGAGAAGCAAAGAATAGAGTAATGACTTTGAGTAGAGTAGATTTTGAGTACTGCTGTATGATAAAGCCGTCTGTCTTATTGTGGGTGTGTGTTTATCTGTCTGTCACAGATTTCATGAAGCGAATTATAGCTAAAGGCCCGAGCTATGATTTTGCATAACTTTCGCTAATAGCACCACCTCTACCCAGGGTCAAGCGTGTGATGCGACTGTCGCAACGGGGGTCGTAAAGAGGGCCTACGGTGGGGGGGGGGGTAGTAAGAGGGGGTAGTTTGGATAAAAAACTGTACGCTTGAAAGCAAATATAGCAAATAATTATTACATGTTCGTTATAATAATTCGCAGAATGGTGAGTATCAATATATCAAATGAGAACGACTGAGCAAAATGCAATGTAAAACATTTGCCAATGTAAGAACTCGCTTTATTACTGCATTTTTGAGAATATAACTTGATTTGTTTTTTATACTTAAGTTTGTTAGGTTTTGAACTCCTCTCGTCTGCAGTCATACAGCGAAGTAAGACCGCTTCAAGAGATTGGCGGCAACAAAGTGTTTTTTCCAAAGATAATGTCATAAAAGTTCGAGAAAATTGTGGTTGAGTTATTACGATGGACTTGCTTCGGCAACTGTTTCTGGGCCGGTAGAAAAATTGCTAGTTTGACATTCTCCTCTGTATCTTTCAGTGCAAAAAACAATGTCAGAACCGCAAACACTAGTACGTGTGCTAAAGATGCTGGACGTACCAATTGGCCTGGAAGTTCTGCTTCCGGAACCTCACTGAAGCCTCATACTCTTGATAAAAGCGCACATATAGATCAACGATGACAATCAATAATTCGTAAATCTTTTTGTAATGCCTATTTTACGGCTCTTACAATTTATATGTACTTTAGATAAGCCCTTCTATTACTATGCGAAATCCAGTATTATTTTGTAAACTGTAGATTTTCTTATGATTTTATGTATGGTAGCTAAAAATCAGAAAAGGGAGTCGTATCTGGGTCGCATCTAAAGTCCTTCGGAGCTATCGAAGCTTGTTGGCTGCAATTTTGCTGTAATATGAGGCCATCCTCCTACTTTCCTTCTTAAAAATTGCAGACTGTTTTATAACTTCTTTGATAAGTTACACAATTTTAAGCTCAAAAATCCCAATTTTTGCTTTTTAGGATCGCATCTAAATTTGCCAGAGTCGCATCTAGTTATTTTCGAGCTCACTGCTACTCAAGGGCTGAAACTTTTTCAGTGTATAGTCTAGGCACTTTGATACAGAACCTGTTCCTTGCAGCCTCTCAGTCTTTTCTTGGTCTTGATTACGAATTTTCAAACTACCATGCTCATGCACGTTTTTGACATCGTTCTGGATGGCGCTAAAGCGGTTTTTTTCTCAGGAAAAACTGTGTTAGAGGTAAGTAGTAGCTTCTTAGTCGAAAACATCTTTTGTAGTTCAAGAATGTCGTTTTTTTTCTCCGTGCAAAAATTTGTGTCGCATACGGGAACACCGAGTTTGCTGGCCTGAAGTATGCCTGAAAATTCAAGAAAAAAACCTGCAAAATCTCAAACATTACTAAAGGTGTGTATGTGTGCTACAGATGCTAGGCGCATCCATTGGCTTAGAAATTCTGCTTCTGAGACCTCAATAAAGTTCTTACACAGTGTTTTTTGAGATTGACATTCGTTGCAAGTTACCGCGAGGAATGTGGGCAGGGGAGGCAAGAGGGTAGTTGGGGGGGGGGGGGGGAGGGGACGGGGGGGTAGATGGGACGGGGGATCGTAAGTAAGGACGTACTTTCAAGGAGGGGGGGGGGTTGTAAATGGGGGTCCCGGATTGCATCAGCACTCTTGACCCTGCCTCTACCATGCACAACAGCAGATCCGCTAGCGCAAACTTCAAAATTGCGCATCAAAAAGATCCACGTGGCTTACGATCCGCATTAATTCCGCAAAACTGAATCGCTATCTGTTTTCTGCAGAACCATGAGTCTGTTCAATAGATAAATCTGTGAGTCATGGACTTTAGCCCAAAAAGTGTTCAAAAACTCCTTTTTTTTTGCAAGGACAGCGTCAAGAAGAAATAAGATTGAGTAGATTAATTTCCCACTGTTTTATCAGGAATTTCAGAATATTTTGCTTATCTAGCTCAAGTTCATCATTGTCCCCATGTAATCACTGGGCTATAAAAAGTTCTAATTGACCCACATAAAGGCTATTGCAGGACGAAGGCGCAGAAGCAGGATTAGTTAAGCAGACGCGAACTCCGCGCACGCGTATCTTCACCGTTGTAAAGCTTGCGTCTTATGCGCTCTACGGCTAATAGAGCCGCATTCGCGCCCGAAGGTTCTGCGCCTTCGTCATGCAGTAACCTATATGTGTTTGTTTGACTCTTTTTTTTTGCAAAAAAGTTTTCTCCGTTACTGATCTTGCACAGAGAGCTTCTGAAATGAGATGTTCAGGAACCATTCCTGGTGGCCGACATTGCGCGGCGAGTTGCAGAGCCATAGCTATGAAAGAAGAGGAAGGCGTATAGATAACAGAACCAGTGGGAGCCTCCGGTGGGAGTAACTGGTTGTAATATATCATTTTAGTTTATACAAGAGTGGCTGAGAATACTGGCGCATCTAAAATCGGTTCTAGAAGACAGCAGCTGCCAATCAATATCCACAAAATTCATTTAGAATTCACAATTTTGGTTTAGAAAAGCGCATAAAGGTGCTACTTGAAAGTGGTTCCATATCCATTCACATTCCGTCGCGAAATTTTTGAAGCCTACTTACATCTTATATATAAAGCTGAATGTCTGTTTGTCTGTCTGTCTGTCTGTCTGTCTGTCTGTCTGTATGTCTGTCTGTCTGTGTGTACGTATGTTCCGAATAGAAAATTCCATTTCTGAACCGATCCGGACCAAACTTGGCATACATACACTTCGGGCCCCGGCGGATGTCATAGGCTACTTTTCGTCATCGATCGATATCGATTTTATCGATTTTTATCGATTTTTTGCTGAGTTCACCTACGGGGCTGGGAGTTGGCACAGGGGGGTAATCGAGCATGGAGATTCCGAATACAATATTGGTTTTCAGGATTATCGATTACTTTTATCGATTTTATCGATTTTTTTGCAAAGTTTGAGCTACGGGGCTGGGAGTTGGCACAGGGGGGTAATCGAGCATGGGGATTCCGAATACAATATTGGTTTTCAGGATTATCGATTACTTTTATCGATTTTATCGATTTTTTTGCAAAGTTTGAGCTACGGGGCTGGGAGTTGGCACAGGGGGGTAATCGAGCATGGGGATTCCGAATACAATATTGGTTTTCAGGATTATCGATTACTTTTATCGATTTTATCGATTTTTTTGCAAAGTTTGAGCTACGGGGCTGGGAGTTCGCACAGGGGGGTAATCGAGCATGGGGATTCCGAATACAATATTGGTTTTCGGGATTATCGATTACTTTTATCGATTTTATCGATTTTTTTGCAAAGTTTGAGCTAGGGGGCTGGGAGTTGGCATAGGGGGGTAATCGAGCATGCTGATCATCCCCAAGGGGGGTGATCAGCATGCTCGATTACGCCCCTGTGCCAAATTCCAGCCCCCTAGCTCAAATTTTCAAAAAATCGATAAAATCGATAAAAGTAATGGACGATCCTGAAAACTAATATTGTGTTCGTAATCAGCATGCTCGATTACCCCCCTGTGCAAAATCCCAGCCCCGTAGCTCAAACTTTACAAAAAAAATCGGTAAAATCGATAAAAGTAATGGACGATCCTGAAAACTAATATTGTGTTCGTAATCAGCATGCTCGATTACCCCCCTGTGCAAAATCCCAGCCTCGCATGTCAAACTTTGCAAAAAAATCGATAAAATCAATAAAAGTAATCGATGATTCTGAAAACTAATATTGTATTCGGAATCCCCATGCTCACTTCCCCCCCTGTGCCAACTCCTAGCCCTGTAGGTGAACTCTGCAAAAAAATCGATAAAAATCGGTAAAATCGACATCGATCGATAACGAAAAGTGGACTGTGACACCCGCCGGGGCCCGAAGTGTATGTGTGCCAAGTTTGGTCCGGATACGGCGGAGCCGGGTAAGCCAGCTAGTGGGCTATAAAAATGTGCAAACGACTTGTTTTTTTTAAATAATCAAATTTTTAAAACTTTCTAAAAAATCAAACTAGCTTTGTAGAAAATTTTTTTCGGGGGCGTGCCACACATTCTTTCTCTAAATTTTAGGGGTTACGAACCCATAAAAATTTTGAGAGGCCCCAAAAAATTTTTCGGAGTGCGTCCCCCCCCCTCCCCTTCCCCAAACCCCACTGCTACTCATGTACTTTATTTAAGTACTTTGTCTTCTCTAATCCAAGAGCGGGATGCACCCCGCACACATTTCAGCAATGTTATTAATGGTATGGTAGATCCTACAGAAAGAATGTTTTGAAGCCTGAAGATTCTTTCAATCAATGTGCAGCTATATTAGAAGCATGGATAGTTAGCCTTTACCATCATTATCATTACATTTCTGAAAGCAGTAAAATTCTGCAAATGATGCTTTTGAACTGTTGAAACCAACTCAATCTTCTAGCGTTTTGAAAAACCCTCATGGCAAGTTAACGATGACTCCGTGTAAGAGCAGTGGCGAAACGGAAATTATCATACGCCTTGTTCTCTTTTCCACTATGCTTCAA